ATCACGCTGGGTACTCATGTGGGCGTATCTGCCTGTGGGCGAACCCGTCTGGAGACGGATAGAGGAGCTGTGTCTCGGTTCCTAAGACTATTGGAAATAGGTGTTTACTGATGGTCTTAGGCGACCCCTGTGAAAGGGTTGGGCGACCCCCAAGAGGGGTCACGTGTCTAGGGCGTGTCTGAGACCTAATGACTTTGGGATATCAAATGAGCGCATTAGACGCAGAGAAGCTGGACAGATGGGGCAAGGCTAGATACCGCAACCCCTCCCCCTCAAGGAAATGGCCAAGGAACCATAGAACAATGGAACTTGAGGCAGACTCCTCCCTCCTCCCCAAAATCCAACGGAGACAGTTTCTCTAGAGTTGGTGCCCTGAGTTCAGGCTTCTAGTTACCTAACCCAAGAGAAAAGGTATTTGTGTTCCCTGAAACCATCCACATGCCATGTTTCTGCTACAGCAACACTGTAGCTCAGATAGAATTGGTTACTGCTAAGTGGGGTGGAGGTGGGTGGGGGTGGGGAGGTGCTGTTCTAACAAGTGTAGAAGTGGTTTCGAAATTGGGTCGTGGATGGAATCAGGAGGAACCTTGGCGCTTCATAGTCAGGGTCTAGAGTGCTTCAAAGAGACTCTTGGTGGGATTATGGGGGTAAAGGGCTATTCTGAGGAGGGCTCAGAAAGAGTGAGCACCCTGTGGAGAAAATGTTGGATGCTTTGAACAGAAGGTGGCTGGGTATGTGGGTGGTAAATGTGCTTCCGGTGAAACTCCGAAAGGAAACAAGGAAACGATGGGCAGGTTCTTGGACAAGCAGGGAAAGGGTGGTGCTTTTTCTAAGGGGCCAAAGAACCCATCTGAACGTTTGGGAGAAGGTGGAACTTTGTAAGGAATGAACTTGGCTATTTGGCTGAGATTTCTCAGCAAGATTGCTGCTTACAGTAACATGTGGGAGGGGAGAGAGAGAACTGCACAAAATGAAACCAGAACCGGAAAAGAAGGGGAACGCTTTTGTATAAACTAAAGACACCTGTCCTGAAATTTCCACCAAGGGTTTGGCCTGTGAGTGCTGGGCTTAATAAGCCACCACAGCAGAAACCTTGTCAGCTTAGACGGGAAGGGACAGGATGGTGCAGCAGGAAGGAAAGCTCCTGGAGTCCCCAAAACGATACAAGAAAACCAAACTTAGTGCCATCGGGACTCATGGAGACCCTACAGGACAGAGTGGAACTGCCTCCCCCAGCACCACCAATAGGGTTTCCAAAGTTGTCAATCTTTACAGAGGCAGGCTGCCACATCTTTCTCCCGCGGAGCAGCTGGGGGGGTTGACCTGCCAGTCCTTTGGCAAGTGTCTGAGTGCTTTAACCACTGTGCCATTAGGGATCCATCTCCTGGAACCCTGCGGGTAGGAAATAGGTCCAAAGTGGCACGGTTGCAAACATCTGCTGTCCACTAAGAAAAGGCACTGTGTTAGACAGGGTTCTCTAGAGAGATAAAACCAAATTGCTGATAATTTAATATATTTATTTATAAAGATAATTGGATATATAACAAGGAATGAACTGTTAAATCATATACAGTTAAATATATAATACAAGAAAGAAACAGTTAAATTATAAAGCACTACAAATGGCTCAATTCAACTCACTGCCGTGAGAGAGATGTGAGAGACTAGCAGTCCTTCCAGTCCAATCTGCTGCCAGATCTTCCTCTATTTATAGAGAGAGCTAGGCTATGTCAGCACAGCAGCCAATCAGAAGGCAGGTCACCAACTGCCAGCCAGGTCACCAACTGCCAGTCCCCAGCTCCAGCGATGTCTTAAAGGGACCTCAACTTACAGCGACACAGTCCACAGGTTAGGGGTCCCACAGGTAATGTAGCCTTTAAATTGAGGCACAGGACAAGCAAGGCAGCCGCACACTGGTCCGATGATCAAAGAGCGAGAGACAAGAAAGGCGAGACGCACCAAGGCATTTATCTCTCTGCCCTTCAGTTAATCCCACTTGTGTTTATCGGCCAGGCTGGCACAATAAACTATCTCAGGCACCATCCTAGAATAATTCAGAGATCAGCAGACCTGTTGGAGGGACCCTGGCAGGCAAGGATGCCTTGTTTCAAAGGGTGGGCAAATTACCTCCTAGGCTTCAAAGGGAGCTCTGGTGGCACCGTGGTTACGTGCTAGGCTGCTAACCACAAGGTCAGCAGTTCAAAACCACCAGCAGTTCTGAGGAAGAAAGATGAAGTTTCCAACTCCCGTAAAGAGTTACAGCCTTGGAAACCCACAGGGCAATACCAGTCTGTTCTACAGGTCACTACGTGTCAGAATAGACTGGATGGCAGTGAGAGGTTTCAAAGAGTTGACCCCCACCATCAGTTCTGGAGTCTTGGCTGCCATGCATCTGGGCCAAGAGGATGGGGCCCCTGATCCAGAGTTGAGGGGGAGGGGCTGTCATGCTAAAGAACCAGGAGAACAGAATCACTCGGGTCCAAAGAGTTAGGGGTCACACTCAGGTAGATCAGGAAAACAGGGCCTCCCCAAAGTTGAAGGGGTTTCCATCCCAGTGGGTCTAGAAGGAGGGGGCTGAAGCCCAGGGCCAAGGGTCTTGTAATCCAAATCCCAAGAGTCTGGAGGTTGGGGCCATCTTTCAAATGGTCCTGGGAAACAGAAGATTCTTTCTAAGTCTTCAGAGCTAATGACACTTACTCTGCTGGTCTTGGGACTTGCTTGGTGCCCATCCCTTGCGTGTCCTCTCCCTTCTAATTGCTTGTTTGAGGTGGAATGTCCGCCTTGGGCTTGCTCCACCATTGTCCCTGGGACACAGGTCATTTGTAGTCCAGATGCCACAGGCCCACAAAGGGAAAGAAAGCTTGCCCCAGAATGGAGCATGCCCAGAGTGTCACTTAGCCACGCTGGATGAATGATTCCCAAGCCAAGATTTGGGACTGGGGCATGGGTCTGATGGCCCAACACAGTGATTGCGTTTTGCTTGTGTGAAGGGTATGGAGTTGGGAGGGTCCAAAGGGTGGACTGTTAAGGGATTAAATTGTGCCCCACCCACCCCCACTACAATGTAATGCGTAAATCCTAGACCTGTGGATATAACCCCATTTGGGGGGAAGTAGGTGTTCTTGATTACACTCATGAGGCCCTATCAGGAGAGGGAGAGAGGTCACCTGGAAATGGCCAAGGAACGGAAGAGCTCAATGCCGGAGACGTTGAGCCAAGCAAGGACAGTCCCTCAAGGGGACAGGGCAGGTGCCCGGAATTTGGGCTTTCACCAGCCCAGAAAGTAAATGTATTCTTTAAGCCACCTGCCGATGGCATTGGTCACCACAGCCCTCGGTAGCTAAGCAGCCCAGGCTCCAGGCTTGGTAGGGGTCTTCTGCCTACCATATCCAAACCTCCCTCTTGGCTTCCAACGCTAAATTTAAATCGATGACCCTCAGCTGCAGGTCATCACCCCACACACACACACACACACCCCGCCTTTCTCACGGGGTGTGTTCTCCAGCCAGCTGGGAGCTAGAGTGGACATGGAGTAGCGGCCTTCTCCAGCACTCAATCACAAGTAGCCCTGGACACCAGGGAGGCGGTGAAGGTAGTTCTCTAGGTGCCGGTGGAGAACACAGAGTCTAAGGAGAGGGACTGGACCCAGGCCCCTCACACTTGACGGCCCCGGGATTCTGCAGAAACGCGGGGTCTGTTTCGGCTTGCCTTTTGGACGCGCTCGCTCCCGGGTGATGACGGGGCTGCTGCTCTGTGGACCATACTTTAGAGAGAAGTCACTTAAGAGGAAGAGCGGAAGGGGCAGGCGAGGAGGCACCGCCCTCCGTTTCCAGCCGTCTTTATAAGTCGAGGGTTCCGGAGCTGGTCACGATTGCAGCAGGGGCCCGGGTCTAGCAGGACGGGCTCCAACCCCGTCTTGTCACTCCTCCGGGCGGCATGCCATGTGCCACTCTCCTGATTCTCCATGCCCTGCCGCTTCTCCCACCCTCGAGGAAAGGGCGGGGCCGGCATGAATTCATGTATGTATAGTGCTTCCAGGCGCCCACCACCATGCACACGCCACTGACACGCGCTGCCAGCTGTTTGGTGGAAAGAACCAAATTCCTTTGACTCCAGGTATGAGGGAGGCACAAAGAGGGTTCCCTAGGACATGGGTTGTCTTGCCGCCCCCACCCCCTGTCCTTTGTGGTGGACGCATACCCTTGGGGTCTTTTAGGAGGACAACCAATCACAAAAGGGGCCCTCATTCTCTGTTCCCACCTCCATCCATTCCACCATTTCTCCCTGCCCCCAGCTCTGAGCTTCCGGTGGTGGTGGGGTTTGACCTTGAGATATTCTGGAACACGGACACTTCCGCGCTCACACTCCTGGCTCACTGGCCAGGGTGGCACCGAGGAAAGAACCTGGCAGGTGGGCAGGGAAGTCGGGAATGGAGAAGCCCCCTTCAAGAGGCCTCTGGAAGGGGACTGCAGCCCCCTGTGGCCACCGTTCCTGTCTGGGGCCCCTCCCCAGGGCCTTGGCTTCCCATCAGGCCTGGGTTGGGGGGGCGCTTGGCTCCCCATTGTTGTTAGTGCCCCCCAGTACTTCTCCCTCCATTGAGCACTCTTCAGTTCAACGGTCTGAGAGTCCCCCGTTAGGGGCTCGCCCCCCCCCCCCACCTGCCCCAGTGACTGGCTCCTCTGGCTGGAAAGCCCTGGACAAGCCCACGGACCAAGCTGCAAAGGGTTCCACAGGGATCTTGGGACTTTTCTCTCATGGTGGGCATGGACATGGGCACCCCAAGGGAGGTCCTCTGCGCGCCTTCTCCCTCACCAGGGCACAGCTCATTCCATTCCTTCAGGTGCGGAGTGGCTTGAGATAAGCTCAATGTGAGCCAATCCAGCTGGCAGCGAGAGGCAGGGAGGCAAATTCTCCTGTGAGGGACTGGGCTGGAAGGGAAACCGCTTGCTTGCTCGCTGGGTGTGGTGTGTGAGGCACAGCGCAAATGAGAAGCCACAGGGTCTGTGTAATTAGGTTGACATTTAATTACGAGGTTGCTAGGCGGGGCAGGAAGAAGATGGGAACCAGGAGCCTGCCACGAGCCTTTCCAGCCGGGGTGACCACGGCTAAGGAGCTGGGGCGAGTGGGGCAGACGGGTGGGCTGGGACTCAGGCACAGTGTCCTGCACGGAGCTGAGGCGGGTAGGGGCGCTGGGGATCTGCCCCTCGGCGGGCCCAGGTCTGCCATCAGTCCAGGAGGCAGAACTCCGTCTCCTGCTGCCGCATGCTGGGTAAGAAGTACAGAGCCACAGCCGCGATGGCCAAGAACACCACGGGCTTCCACATCCCAAATATGTTCTGTGGGACAGAAGGAGAACTGTGAGTGCCCAGCCCCCGGCAGCTTCCCAAAGCCGGACAGCACCTCCCGACCAGGGCTGTGGAGACCCCTCAGGATCACTGTGGACCACCCCTTCTTCCCTCCCGCCTAACCGTTGGAGGTGATGAGGCCTCTTAGCCCTGCACCCAAGGTAGCTGAAACGCTATCTATATATAGATAGAAATAGTTTTATCTATCTAGCTAGCTAGCTATCATTTCCTGTGATTGCCTCAGTGCATGTCTCAGTATCTCCTGATGGGATAATAGGAATGCCAGTTCCTACACGTGGAGGAGGCAGGCTCGGGAGCCAAACCTCAGAGACCCTCCAAGTGGCCACCATGAGAAAGGGGCTGGCTGTCCTGTGGAGTCAGGCTCTTGGGAGAGTAGCAGCTCTGGCTTTATGGAGGAGAAAGGACCCTGGAACCAGTAAGGATGGGGGAGGGGGTGGGGTGGGGCAGATAAGGCATAGGAGAAGTGAAGGAAGTACGCCTGGGAGTCCAGGTCGATAGGGGACAGGACAGGGTCATGAAAACACCCTTTGTCGCCAGGTGTGTCCACTGACTCCATGGGGCGGGTGACCACCAGTGACTCCTGTCAGTTCCTGGGACCGTGGATGATGCCATCAGAAAGCACCCAAAGGAGCATCCTGTGGGGAACATGAAATCTTGGACAAGAACAAGCGCCCGCCCTCAGGGACACGAGTTCTTGTTAGGATGGAATCGGATTCCTGCAAAGACAACCATTGGCTCGGAAGCCATCGGACACCAGCTGGAGAGAGCAGACAGATGGGTTCAGGAGGGAGTGGATCTCATCAGAGCCAAGAAGGCCTTTGTTCCCAGGATGACTGACGTAAAGAGAGGGCCGTTGAGGCAGCTATTCAGAGCAACGGCAACCCTGAGGCCTGTGGCCCGCGGTGCTGAGAACAGAGGTGAGGAAATGGAGAGGCGTGCAGATAAGCCCGCGGTGTGAGAAAAATACGTAACTGCAGAGAGCTAGGCATGACATCGCTGTGCTCCGATGTTTCTGCCCTCGTGCGCACGGAAAGAAATGCCCGTCTGGTAACCTCACAGGAAGAGAGAGCTGAAAATCCCTAAAGGTCACTGGCTGCGCTTCGCACTGGGCAGAGGGAAAGTTCTAGACTGGCTGGGTGACGAGCTGAGCTGGGTGTCCCCAGGGGTAAGTCCTGCAGGACTTGGCTTGTCGGCTGGGTTCCTGAGCTGGTGGAGCAAGACGATGAGGCTGTGGGGCTTAGTCAAGGCGCGGGACCAGCTCTCCCACGGTGTGCTCACTCTGAGAGAGCACGGGCAGAAGAGTTGTGCCGCTTGCTGGACGACCTGTGGTTCGATGGCCCACAGTGGGGGTGAGGAGAGTCTAGAAGGCCTGCCCTGACCCTGCAGAGGCTCAGTCCTCACCTGTCACTTGGCTGAAGGTTGGAAGGTGGGCTTGGCCACCCCTGAGGGCGACTTGATACGGGCAGGGAAACAGCAGGCTCAGTCTCCAGGCCGAGACAGAAGGAGGCAACGTCACAGGTTAGGAGAATGGACAGTAGGTGATAGGATGAACGTCAAGAGGGATGAACGGGCATATTTCCACCTTTGGGTCAAGACAATCAACTGTGGGCAGCTCTCCGATGGAGCCTGGCTGAGCTCGAGTTAGCAAGAGGTTCCGTCCGGCCCGATGTTTTGGGGCCCTAACCCCACAGCGGGGTAGCTGTCTGGGAGCTCACAGAGGGAGGAGAGCAGGTACAGGGTGTGACCTCTGTCGATAAAAGCGTGCAGAGGGTCCACGGGAGAGACGGGAGAAAGGCTGGGAAGGGAGAACAAGGGGAATGGGGAATCAGAGATGAGAGGAAAAAGGAAGTGCTGAGAAGCCCGTTTCTCTTGCGCCAGCAGATGCTGGCACCTCACTCCCGTGGGGTGGGGGTGGGGGTGGGGAAGAAGAGCACGAGAAAGGAGCCCCAACAGGCCAAGAAGGAAGAGTTTGTCTTTCTAGAAGGCAGGGGGAATTCTGGGCTTCTACCTGAGACCATCAGCCACATGCTGTGTCCTGAATTCGGGCTCCTGTGGGCAGAGCATGTGACATGGACAGAGGTCAAGTGGGAGGCTGCCAGGAGGGTATCAGAATGCTTCCATCTCTGGCTGGGGAGAAGCCAACCTCAGAGGGAGCTGGCCTCCAGCACGGACAAACAGAGTCCCGCAAACGTTTCTCTTCTCGTGCTGATTTCTCCAAAGCCCTGAAGCTGAGAAGGTTTCGGTAGAAGGGGCAGAGCAGGGCAGGGGCTTCAGGCTCGTTTTCATCGGGGGTTGAAGGGCGGGTTGAGGCTGCCCTCAGACCGATGACCCTGAGGAGGGTTGTAGTTCTCCGGCCCTCTCTTCCCCACACCCACTGAGAGAGTGCGTGTGCAGCCTTCATGGGGTAGGGAGAGCTTGACTCTGGGCCAGAGAGAGCCCAGGCCAGACCAGCCTCGCAGACAACGGCCAGCACATTAGGAGAAGTCAGGCGGCTTTCAGCGCGGTAGCCATGCTAGGCTCAGCCTATCTTTCCCTGCTCTGGGCAGGCAGAGGCTCAAACCTTGTCTCTGGAAGCATCTGGCTCCCCGGGCACTACAAAGGCATGTGCAGGGATTCTATGGGTTTCGTGGGTGCCCGAGGGAAAGCCCAGGGCGATAACCCAACCTGATGCGCAGTGACAAAAGCAAGAAGCAAGGAGCAGAGAGGAAAGGGACCGGGGAGAGGCCAGGCCAACCGGCCACCCCCCTCTGTCCTTCAGGAAGAGAGGAAGCAGCGCCAGTACCTGTGTTAAGACGCCGTCTCCGCCCACCAGCACCAGAGCAAAGCCGATATGACCACCAGGCCTATGAGAGGCAGGGAGAAGATGGGGGGCTCGGGGGCAGGAGATGGCTGCAATGCATGGAACGGGTGGCCGGGTGGGGGTGAGAGGTGGCGGTGAAGCAAGACGTGGACACATGGATCCAACAGAGAATGAGGGTGATCAGACACGGGAGAGAGAGAGAGAGGAAGCGAGAGGTTAAAAAGCAGGTCAGCTTGAGCAGCGGTCCTTCTGCGAGGGCCCTACACGGGGCCCTGGTTCTTCCCACGGGCACCCATCAAAGATGCACCATGGATGGGTCAGGCAGTGCAGTGGAGCCCAGTTTCTTGCCTCTTGCCAAGCGCTTGGGGGCATGCACACCAGACCCTTCATGCAGGTGGGTGACTCTGGACGGGTGGAGCTCCAGAGAAGAGGTGGGGTGGCAGCGGCGGAAGGGCACGGCGTGTACGTGTCCTGGCTCACTCGGGAGCTGGTCTTGGGCCAAGCCACCGGGCCGCTCCCTTTGGTAAGCCCCATGTTCTGATCTGCTTCCCTCCCCTCCTCTGAGCACTTCGGGATCGGGTGCTGCAGTCGGCTAAGAGCCTCCCGTCGTTGGGAAAGCCAGTCAAAGCCAACCAGGGAGAGGGGCTGGTGCACGCTCTCCAGAGCGGGAATGGGAGCTGAGCTGCTAATGTCATGTACACGTCATGGCAGAAGAGGCGGGGCTGGGCCCCTGGTAGCTCTTCCTGAGAGATAACTCAAGGCGGCACTCAGTCAGCCTTGGGGTAGACCCCTGGAGTTCAAAGAAATACCGTGGTGGGCTGGGCTGGAGGGCGGCGGGGTTGATGCTGCTTGCTGAGGATGGGTTGCTTGCCATGGGGTTAACAGAGGGCTGACTGTCAACCTACCACCCGGGACTTGGTTTAGAGGGCAGACAAACACGCTTTAAAATGTTACCTGGAAAGTGACCCCACAAGTAGTCAAGCCCATCACAGAATCGGGGACCCCAGTGACTTCAACCAGGGTGGGGACGGAGCTGGCACGTACCCGTACAGATGGGCCAGTTGTTAACATACTGAAAGCACCTCTTCACGATCGGTAAACCACCCCTGCCATCCTGACACCTCTCCCAGGATATCACCCCCATGCCACACTGGCACAGATCCAACGACAAGGGACTGCGTAGACTGTGAATTATTCTGAATCTCTCCCTTGACCACCCCAAGGCTGGCCTCCTGTCGAGCCTGCGAAGAGATTTACCTCCCTCCCCTATACTCCTAACAATGACACTGATGACCAGAAGGTTTAAATCTAATAGGGCATGGAAGTAGAGCTGGCTGAGTGGCTTGCCCTGGGCGACAAGTGTGCCCCGAAAGCCCCACACTACCCATGTCCTTAGTGCAAGTCTAAGGAAGGGATGAGCAGATGCCCTGACGGGAGTAAGGCCGCCAGGGATACCATGGAAGAGGAGGGAGAGAGGATTCCAATGGCCTGCGTTGGCCAAGCGGCTTTGCCAGAAGGTTCCACAGCAAACTGACCTAGGCTTGCCTGAGAGAGCATGTTCTTGGGCCCCATCTCCAGCCATTCCCACTACCCCCAGCCCCCCACCCCGAGTGCACGCATCAGGACTCACACCTGCCCTCTCTCTCTCCGAGGGTGTTTGCTCTCTGGCACGGCACCTGGAGCACCTGAGCCCCACAGCCATTTCCCACCTGACCCAGCCTTTGACGTCAGTTACCTTTCTGTTCTCGGACATGCTGAGGGGGTTTTCCCCCGAGGCTTCGGGGCAAGCATTGTCCTCTTTGTTCTCCGGGTCAGTGAGCTCTTCCCTCTCCTCTGGATCCTCTATCGATCCCGCTTCGTCATCTGTTGTCTCACAGAGTTTATCCCAGGCCCTTTCCTTTTTCTCTTCCTCCTCTTCCTTGTTCCTTTCCTGCTCTTGTGGTAGCTCTTCTACTTCATTCTGGCTGGCCTTGTAGTATAATACCACCTCCAGACTCTGCAGGTGGGGGATGCAGGGGAGGTGGGGATGCTGCTAGCTAGGCATGGCCCTACCCTCTCATTCGTTCCCCACCTGCCACAGTGCCAGGGTGGAGCATGGTGCCCTGGGACTCTGAGCCACCCTTGTCTGAGCAGTCACCCTAGGATCTCTGGACCAACACATCGATTTGGTGATTAAGGGGTAGCCAATAGCGAGCAGAGATCAAGATTCTTGGTTCATACCTCAATGGTTACTTCCAGTCTTTGCATGGCAACACCCATCTTACCCAGTCCACGGCTACTTGGAACGCGTCCCCCACTCTTCCTAGATTTGGCTCTACGGGGCTCACAACCCAGGGAGAACAGAAGCCCCGGCAAAGGAGAGTCAGGGGTGGAACCAGTGGTTGAAGCTGGGGCTGTGGCACTGGGGACAGTCCCTCCAGTCTGTATCCCTTCCTGTGGCTTCACAGGAAAGGGGAGCACCCCTTATCTGCTCAAGTGAACCCCTTCAGATGCTCCAGGCATGCCACCTCACCTGGGAGCACTCCCTCCACTAAGAGAGGGAGAGGCATCTCCCAGGCCCTCCTCCACCTTGCTGCTGAGCTGGCCACCCAGGCCATACTCACGCTGTGGCTGTCCTCACACAGCTCCGGACTCGGCGGCTTACTCTTCTCCCCGCTGCCACTCTTGTTGGTGTTCTGATTGCAGTTCTTGCTTTGGAGGTCCGAGGAGGAGGAGCGCTTCTTCTCCTTGAGCTGGCGAAGCTCTTCTTGGCAGCACTGAAGTTGCCCCTCCAGCTGCTCCTGCACAGCCAACAGCCGCCCCTGCTCATCCATGCTGGCTTGGTACTGCAGCTGCAGGTCCCGCAGCTTGGTCTGCAGTTCTTTGATCTGTAGATGGTGGGGGCTGGTTACCAGCAGCCAGGCTGCCCCAGTGGTGGTGGCGGTTTGAGGCAGGGGGTGTCACTGCCTGGGATGGCTCCCAGCTCAAGCCTGCCCCAGGCACGGAGGCCAGGAACATTCGGACCAGAAGTCTGGGAAACAGACATCCAGGTTGCTGCTCCCTACTGTGAGGCCCCAGTGATTTCTAACCTAACCAGCAGTGACTACACTTTTCCGGGGGCCTCATGCGCAATGTCCCCCGCAGGGCTGCCTTCCGCCGTCCTTTGTTACGGGGCGCTTCCTTGACCACATCCACAGCTATGGGAAGACGGGCCAGCTAAGGGACTGTTGGATGCTCCTGGGCCTACGGGAGGTTACCCGAGCTCGAGGCAGAGTTGCTGGGACCCTGGCTCCCTACCCTGGTCCTGCCTGTCTTCGCAGACGGCAGCATATCGGGATGTCCTCAGCAGGCCCCGACGTGGACCAGTCTACACCCTCGGTGCCCAAACTTATTTGGGCTACCACCCCCTTTTCAGAAAATAAAAAAATCACTCCGTGTCCCACCCTGTCAACGAAAAGGCTTTACACCGTGGCCCACCATCCAGGATCAAGTGCAGGCATCTGCTTTCGCAGCCCCCCTGGGATCGTTCCAGCAGCCCCCACGGATGGAAGCAGCAAGTGATTCCAAGGGAGGACCCTCGTGCCCAGTCAGTCTCTGTGGCTGGGGTTCCACGGCTCAGCGGGTGGCCTCTGGGGATCACACCTCCATGGTCAGCCCCTCCCTGGGCCAGCGAGGGACCCTCCAACGACCTTGTAGCCAGGACCTCCTGCCCGCTTTCTCCTCTGAGCGGCTGCGCCCTCCTCTGGCTCTCGAGATTCCTAGAGGGCAGCCTGCCTCGGGCGAGCGAGCGAGCGGTTACCTCGTTCTTGTCGTTTGGGGGGGCAGCGGGCTTCACGGAGCCTTCCATGCACTCCACAAATTCCCTCTCGCGGGCATCTAGCTCCTCCTTCAGCGCCTTCTGCTTCTGCAGCAGCGCCATCAGCTCCTTCTGCAGCAGGCTGTGGTCCTCCTGGCTGACCTGGTACATGGCCTGTACCGCTTGCAGCTTGGTCAACACTTGGGCAACCATCTCCTCAAAGTGCTGTGGAGGGCGGGGCGGGGATGGGGCATGGGGTGGGGAGACTCTTTATTTCTTCCCAGAAGGAACACCGCCACAGTGTTGGCAAAAAGTCCCAAGTCTTAGGTAGGCCTCCATCCAGACAGGAGCTCCCCTTCTGGGTTGGTCAGAGGGGCTTGGGAAAGTGGCTTATAGCCAGCCATCGGGGTCAACTGCTGTACCCGTTCCCTACCTCCTCCTTGGGGCCTCCCTTGGGTGATCTGGCCGCCCTGACCTCTGGCCACCTGGCTGTCATTACCTCTAGATCTTCAGGCTCAGCAGTGTCATGGTCAAGGCTGCTGGTATAACTCTTTTGATAGGTGGCGCTGCTGCTGCTGCTGCTGCTGCTGCTGGCGTAGCTCTTCTTGTTGGAGAGCTCGCTACCATGGCTGCTGCTCTGGTAGCTCTTGGCGAAGCTCCCTTTGCTGCTCTCCTGCTCACTCGTGTAACTCTTGTTAAAGCTCTCAGCAGTCTCGACGAGGTTCTCAGGGGCAGGCAGGCTTTCGTAGCTCTTTTTGTAGGACTCAAGGCTCATCCTGATGGCCGGGGACTGGCTTTGAAGCAGGTGCATTTCTTCCAGGCAGAGCTGCAGGTCGGCCTGCAGCCGCTGGCGCTCCTCCAGGAGGCGGCCCTGCTCCTGCTGCAGCAGCTCCTGCTGGGCCTCCCCAGCCTCGTACAGTGCCTGCAGACCCTGCAGCTTCTCACTCAGCTCCTTGGACTGCCCAGCAGCGGGGGTGGGAAGGGCGGGAGACATGGGCGTTAAGCTCAGCCTGTTCTGCTGCTGCATCCCCGCACGCCCCCCAGGGGGGTGCTGACGTCAGAGCCCCCTCCTCCAGTGGAGAGCCGCACACCTACACTCCAGTTTCAGCCTGCGGGTACCTGCAGGTGCCAGGTGTGGACAATCTCCCGAGGGCTGCTGGCTCCTGTTTCTGCACTCTGGCCCACCCCCTTTCTCCTGGATCTACACTGAGTGGCCTCAGGGACACCCTGATCTCTGCCCTGCCCTCTTCTCAGTCAGGTATAGCCATGATCCTGACTTTTAGCGCATACTCCCATCTCCTGGGATGTGGGCGTACAAAGCCTTCCTTCCTCTGGGGAGGAAGATGTGGATCCCAGGTCTGAACCCCCTCTCCTGTACCCTAGCTCCACGCTGGCCGCTGGGTCCTCCGGCCCTGGCTTTTCAGTTGCTGATGGCCAGTGTGAGATCTGACGGCAGTTGAGGATACATTTTCTACCTGGTTCCTGGCCTCTGTGCTATGCAGACCTTTAGCCTGGATATCGGACGGCCCTGGAGGTCACACAGTTTGGGGACCTCCTGTCCACCCCGGTAAATAGTGGAATGACCAGTTTCTGCCTCAGCTGACTCTCTACCTGCTTTTCTGGGGCCACACTGAGCCGTAGATCAGGTTAGCCTTTAACTCCAGAGGACTTGCCAGGATACCTCTGCCCATGTGACCCCACAGGCCCGACCCCTTGCTGGTGTTGGAGAGCCTCCAGTTCTCTGTCTAACCTGCCCACCACACCCCCGATCTCTCACTGCCACCGCGGTTCCATAGATCGTGCAGCCAGTGCTAAGAACCCCACATGCTGGGGTTCCTTTCTCCGAGAGGACTGACTGGCTTCTGAGGTGCCGCAGGTAAGAGGCCCAAACCTGACCGGTTCTGCTTACTCAGGAGAAAAGGGTCCACCCAGACAGACCCTGACCGAGACGTCTTGATCATGATCTGTTGGAGGGACTGAGTCCAATGGCCCAGAGACTAAGGGCTTCTGGGCCCTCCCGGCTCCTGTCTAAGGGCTCAGAGCGCTTTTGTTGGGTGGGCCTCACGGGGAAGGTCCTTGGGTGCTTCAGAGGAACCCGTGGTGATCTTGGCTTGTGACGGGCAAGGGCTTTGGCCTTATCCTGAACTCTGACCCGTTCAGAGAGGGAGCACCCCTTTCCCTGCCTTGCAGTTGACCTCAGGAGGACGGCCTCCTGGGCTCGCACTGTGGTTACCTTGTGGGGATCGTACTTTGAGGACTTGGACCACCTGCAGTTCTTGGGCTTCTCCAACACCTCCTGGAAGCACAGCTCCCTGTGGAGCCCCAGCTCTTTGTGCAGCTTCGTTTGTTCCTCCAGCAGGGCCCTTTGATTCTGAAGCAGGGTCTTCTGGTCTCCCTGCATGCCTTGGCAGAGCAGCTGCAGCTCACAGAGGTCCTGCAGCTTCTGAAGCAGCTCCTGACTCTGTGAGGGAGAGCAGAGCCCAGGAGAGGGAGTGCGGTGGGGACCGACGGGGGGCAGGCCTCTGTTCTGGCCGGGGGGCCTCCTGCCTCCCTTTGGGGCCCGTCTGTCCCTTCTTCAGAGTCTAGCACGGCAATCTGGGGATGGGCAGTCTTTCAAGAGAGGCCTGCTAATGGAGTGGCAATCACTTGTGATGCCAGGTCGCACTGTCATTTAGAATTTACAAAGCGCTTGCCAAGACACTTCCTTCCCGAGGGAGACCAGAGCGAGAAACGTGTGTTCAGCTCACAAGCCCTCCGGAGAGCCACCCTGAGGGGCTGTCACTCTGCGCTGTGGTTTGGGGAGCCAGGGGAGGGAGGCCGGGCAGGAGTGCCCAGGCAATGGCAGGTGGGAACAGCCTTGGACCGCGGGTTACCTTCTGGACAAGCCCCGACTTGGGGAGGGGGAAGGTGAGCTGGTGCAGCTCTTCCTGCAGCTGGCCCTGCTCCTCCTGCAGCCGCCGCTGGTCCTCCAGGAGCTCGCACTGCTCCACCTGCAGCTGCCCCAGCTCCTTCTGGTTGGCCTTGTACTTCTCCTGCACCGCCCTCAGTTTGCACAGCTGCTCCTCACACTGCGGGCAGGGGGTGTGTGTTTGTGACTGGGAAGGATGCTCCCTGGTGCTGCGTGGTGCTGTGTGGCTGGCCGTGCGCTTCTGCACCCATGTGGCCTCCTGCCAGTCACTGGGGTCTCTGGGTGCCCACCCGTCCCGCCAGGTCAGGCCCAGATGCCAGGGTGGGGTGCGGAACCCCAGCTGGCGCTCTGTCTTTGGTATTTCTCCTACTACTCCCTTTGGAGGCCAGGTGAGTGGGGCATTCTCCCTGGCCCCCTCCTTTTTCTGGGGACCAGCTGGGCATGGTCGTGGTGGCTACTCCTCAGCCCCCACCGGCCTCTGGGCCCGACCAGCGCCCTGACTTTCACTCTGACGGCCCCACTGTTGTCATAATCAGCTCTTCAGTCTCTAGAAGTGACGAAGTAGCCCCAAGAATCCAGCCACCTCCATCTAGCACCAAAGCGCCCTCAAGGACAACTAGAAAAGCAGCCCCGGGGCCCTGGATCTGAGTGGTCGGGGTGGGGAAGAGGAGCCCGTGGACTGCTGAGATGGCCCACTTCTCCATCCCGTGACTTCTGAAGGCGCGGCCACTGCGTGCTTCTGTCGGAATGCGTGGAGCTCATGTGCCTGTTCTCCCATATGCTCCCCGACGTCTCTGTTTCCTATCCGCCACTGGGTGCGCTGCATGCCCAGCGCAAGGTAGCTCCCAATGGCTTGCATTTGACCCAAGACAGATTAGGAGCCAGGACTTGCTTGTCACTACCTCGAGTGATGACGGGCAGGAAGTGAGCTCAGAGTTGTGCTCTGGTCGAGAGAACTGACTACCCTGAAGTCACAGGCTCCATCTCTAGGCATGCCTCAGGAGACTGGCCCTCCTGGCTTCCATCAGGACCACGTGTGGTATGTGTGGTGTGTGTACCCATTTCACTTTCTGGCCATTGAGTCGATGCTGACTCACAGCAACTGTGCAGGACAGGGTCCAACTGTCCCCATGGGTTTCTGAGACTTTAAAGAGACTTCTACTCTTGACGGGAGTAGAAAGCCTCATCTTTCTCCCACAGAGCCACTGCTGGTTTTGAAGTGCTGACCAATGTGTATGCACTGCCAGGGTTCCCAGATGCCAACATAGTTCTACCGTCAGTGTAGGAATGCTACATACAGGGAGATCGCGGGTAAAGCCTTCGGGTGGGTGTTCAGACTGTGGTCTGGATGTTGTGACGTTCGAAGCCCAGGCCAAGGCCAAGGGTTCACCTCCCTCAGGTGAGCCGCCCACGGCTCAGCCTCTGCTCCAGCCGTGCTCACTCAGTTGTGGCGGAAGCCGATGTGACTTGGCCTCTTTGACCACGTGCTCCTGGGGAGCCCTCACCCCTCCGGTGACGATTACCTTCATGGGACATTTCCCCTTGTCCTCCGTAAGGCCCTGGGTGCTCTTGAGTTGCTGCAGCTCCCGCTGGCACTTCAAGAAGTCCTGCTCCAGCTGGTCGTACATGTGCTTCTGCTGCCCCTGCTCCTTCTTGCTGGTCTGGTACAGATGCTTCATTTCCTGGAGCTGGGCGCGCATCTCTCTGTTCTGGGGCCGGGAGGCAGGCCTGCCATCACCCAGGACTCCCTGTCCTCCCAGCCGGCGAAGGACCAAGGGATCTGACCCTGGACTTCTCAGCCCCGACTTCCTCCCCGTGGAGGCAGGGGAGTCCCCCCAGGGAGCCTCCTTGACAGGCTCCCACCTAGGTGGCCTGGGAGGCGGGGGAGGGAAAGGACTATCCGTCTAGAGGCTGGTTCTCTGATTTAAAATCAAAGGAAGCCGAGACCGACCGCCTTTCTGGACAGAATCCTGTCCGGCTGTGAGTGTCTCCTGCATCCGCCTCACCAGCGCACAACTCGTCCCCACTCCGGGCCCTTGGCGGGAGACTCTGCCTCGCCTCAAGCTCCTTTTACCTTCTCGTTGCTCTCTTGGAAGGAGGCCTCCATGTCCCGGAGGCGTTGCAGCTCGGCCTCGAGGGCCCCCAGGTCGTCCCGCAGCTGCCGCTGCACTTCCAGCAGCCTCTCTTTCTCATTCGTGAGGCTCTGGTACTGGTGCTGGAGCCTCTGGAGCCGGCACAGCAACTCCTGCGGGGAGGGGGCTCTGGGCAGTGCCTCCTGCCTCCCTCAGCCTTCTCTCCAGCTGGCCAGCCCTGCCCTGCACCAGCGGCAGCAGCGGCTCCTCTTCTGCCCTAATGTGGATGCTTCTCGACCTGAGGGTCTGCCTAGGTGAGGACTGGGGCTACTGCACCCCCCCTACTCGGAGTCCCCCTTTCCTGGAGCCTCAGGAGGGTGCTCTGGGCCCCTCACCTGCCCGCTCACCTCTGCTTGCCTGTTACCTTGTCGGCTGGGCTTTCTATGACCATGGGTTTCGCAACTCGGAGCTGCCGCAGCTCCGTCTGCAGTTGAAGCTGCACCTTCAGGAGCTCCTGGTGCTCTTCTTGGCTGGCATCGTACCTCTCCTGCAGGGCACAGAGCTTGGTCTTCAGCTCCTCGTTCTGCGGAGGGAGGTTGAGGCAAAGTGGTTACCCTGGCAGCCGCAGGCTCCCCCGGGCTGCCTGCCTTGCTCGCTGGCCCTCTTCTCAAACACGCTGCTCGACTGTCCTCATGTCGGTCCCTGGGGTCCAAGGGGAGAATCAGCTGCCGGGCCCCTTCCGCAGCACCCAGGGGGTAGGGTGGGGGGGGGGGCATGGCGGACCGCTGCCTTCCCCTGTCCGTCTGCCTGTCGATCTGTCCGTCCGTGTTTACCTGGGTGATGCTGTGGCATGTCTGGAATCGCAGCACCTCAGTCTGCGCGCACTTGAGCTCCTTCTGCAGCCGCCGATGCTCCTCCTCGCTGGCCCGGCGCTGGTGCTGCATCTCCTGCAGCTCACAGCAAAGCTCCTTGCACTGCGAGGAGACAGCCAGGCTGATGGGGGTGGGGAGGGTTGGGGTGGGGGTGGGGGCAGGCCTCAGGCTAGCGGGCACCCCCTCCAGGGGACCGTCCCCAGCTGGCCATCCATCCGGCGCGCTCCCATGTCTGCCCTGGGCCCCAGCCAAGGAGGCGTCCCAGCTAATGAGCAGCGGGTGGTGCAGGGGGGGGCGCCTACCTGCCCTCCGTGGGCGTGGCCCGGGCCTACCTTGCTCTTCATGCCCACCATCTGCTCCTCGGCGCCCAGCAGCCGCTGTCGCAGAAGCTGGGTCTCGGAATCAGGCTCAAGGAAGTCCATTTCTAACGTCTGCGACTCCACCGACGCCATCGACTTGAGCGTCTGGGACTCCAGCCACCTCTCGGTGGCCCGCCGTGTCCTGTAACACACAGGTCCAGGGCGGATTGCGAGGCGTCCCTGCCGGGCGTCCTCAGGCCCTCGCTGGGTCCAAGGCCTTCACTTCAGGCAAAAGTAGGGCCCGAGGGCTCAGGATTCCCGCCTCAAAGAAAGGTGTCTAAGAGGTGGCAGGAAAGGCCCTCAGCACTTCTGGCTGGCGCTGGGAGACCCTGGGAGCCAGCCCTGCTGGGCCTGCGGGGGCGGGGGGACCGGGGCCAGCCACCCCCAGCTCGGAGGCACGCTTCTGGGAGACTGCTCAGCTCTGCACCCACAATGAAGGACTTGCTTCTCATATCTCTGAACCAAAAGCTCACTGCCGACGGGTTGGTCCTGCCTCAGAGTGGCCCGACAGGTCAGAAGAGATGGGCCGCCTGGGGGATTTCCAAGGCTGTACTCTTCATGGAAGCAGGTAGTCATCTTTCTTCCATGCAAATGACTGACGTTTCGGTTCATGGCTGAGTGCTTAACTACTGTACCACCAGGGCTCCTTTAATAACACTCCACGCAGCTGTAGTGGTGCAGTGGTTATGTGTCGGGCTTCTAACTGCACGGGCAGCAGTTCAAAACCAGCAGCTGCTCCTCAGGAGCAGTCCTGCGGAGTTACAGTCTTGGAAACCCACAGGGGCAGCTCTACCTTGTCTAAGGGTCGCAATGAATTGGCAAGGACGTAGCTCCATGGCTGTGAGTTTGGCGTGGTGGTTATGTGTTGGGTTGCTAACCACAGCGGCCACAGTTTGAAACCACCAGCCACTCCGTGGGAGAAAAGGGAGGGTCTCTACTCCTGGGAAGAGTTGCAGTCTCGGGAACTCCCAGGGGCAGTTCTACCCTGTCCTATTGGGTCTCGATGAGCTGGCATCGACTGGCAGAGCAAACCAGAACTCAATGCCTAAAAGCTTTTTGGACTTACTCCACTCTGACCCTAAGACAATGGGTTGTCCCCGTCCATACTGCTTCTAGGCCTCTGTCTCCTGAGAGCCCCATGCGAGGTTCGGCTCCCCAAGAGCAGAGGGATGCAGGCTCTGCGGGCTTCTGTCCAAGGCTGAGCACCCGAGGGCCCTGCCGGCCTCCTCCTGGCTTACCGCTCACTTTCCAGGTTGGCAAGCTGTTCTGTCAGGCTGCTGTTGCTCTCCTTCAGGGCCTGGTACTCCTCGTTCAGGTACCGGCAGCGCTCCCGCAGCTGCTCCATTTCTTCTGCAGAGGACAAGCAGAGAGAGGTGAGCCCCAACTTCCCCGCCGAGAAATAGAGGGCAGAGGCAGTGCGGAGGGAGCATGTGCAGGGGGAGAGGAGGCAGGGCCCAGAACCTCTCACCCTGTGAGGGACATTCTCTTCACCCTCTCCCACATGGCTTTACCGTGTGCTCATCTTCAGAGCCCAAACCAAGGCTGGGACTTGAAATTGCCGCTTTGGAGGGTTTCAATTAAGGGCTTGGTTGGTTGTGGTGAAAGGCTTACTGAGCTGTTTCTGACGTCTTATGCCCTCATTGCAAAAACCTGAGAGCTGGAAACTGCCAGATGCCACACTGCCAGGCCTAGCTGCTCAGAGAGGACCCAGGCACTCGGGGAGTCCTTTGTCACCAGGCCGAATACACTGGCCTGGATGGGCCCAGGGATTCTTTCCAATGGTCTTTCATCTGCTAACCGAAAAACCCACTGCCACCAGACCCACATCTCGTCCTCATTCTAACACTGATACTGACAATGCTATCGGTATCTCAGGGACAGCCACTTGCTTTAGGAGCCCTGGTGGTAGAGTGGTTACACACTGGGCTGCAATCTGCAAGGTCAGCAGTTCAAAACCACCAGCCCCTCTGGGTAGGGGGTGGGTGGAGAAAGAGGAGGCTTTTTACTCCCATATTGGAAACCCACAGGGGCAGTTCTATCCTGTCCTACAGGATCACTGAGTCAGACTTGACTCGATAGTAGTGTGTGAGGACTTGCTTTAATTTGGACCCTTTACTTAGAACCTACCGTACCTGCCACAAGGCTCAACACCCTGAAGGGTACCTCGACTGTGTCCTCTATAGTCCTCGGGATGCTGAGATTGCCATGAGAGAGGGGAAGGAAACGAATCATGGAAACCAACCATGTGCTAAGCAAGCAACGTGGCCGCTTCCGCCTCACGTTCAGCTACTGTGCGAGTGCTTTTGACATGGTAGACATTGCATTCAACCCCATCCTACCCCTACCCCTACCCACGACTGGATGCCATGGAGTTGGCTCCAACTGGCAGGGACCTGACAGACAGAACAGAGCAGTTAGAGGTCCCCCGTGGACTGCCTCATGTGTCTCCTGCCGAGCCGGGTGACAAGAGGGACAGCCTGCCTTCCAGTTAGCAGCCCAATGCTCCCCCCACTGCGCCACCAGGTCTCCTAAACAGCCCTCTACGTTCTTTTATTTCTTTTTTTTCAAAACCATTTTGTTGGGAGTTAATACAGATACCATATGATTCCATAGTTCAAGCACATCAGGCAGTGTTCGGTATTGCACAATTGCTGCCACACGCAGTTTCAGAGCATCTCTTTCTTTTTGAATTCCTTGCTATCAGCTCCCCTTTACTCCTCCACCCTCCCCTACTGTACACCCCACCCCGCCCCGCCCCCGGAACCCTTATTCTATTTGCTGTCTCTGTAGGTTCATCAATCCTGGGTTTCATACATTGAGAACCAGAAAAACATGTAACAAAAATTCAACATATAACAAAATACACAATACATCAGATATACAATCCAATATAAAAACACACAGAGAAAATGCTGACAACCAGATCAGGCCCAACATGTATCAAGGCCAAGGTTAACCATTCGGGTCAGGTTTATCATTTTGATCTCCTATAGGCATCTCTCCAATACTCTCTGTTGCCCCTCTAAGGTTTTAAAATATAGATGTTTTATTTTAGAAGAGTTTTTGGTTTCTGGGAGAGTTCCCATCCTAGTCTTGATGTTTGACATTCTATGTGCCTGGGTGCATGTGGCCCACCCAAGGACTCTGACACTGGTACTTCATGATCCACCCAGATCCACTCTTGTCTTCATCTGGATTTCACACCATCTTCCCAAATGTCCTTGTCCTGTTCCCGAATCCCACCAGCAGTGGCCTTTCATGCAAGAAATCACTTGACAGGTAAAGACTAGCCTACAGCCTCAGAAACTGAGGCTCAGCACGCTGCCAACCAGTAGATGTTCATCCTGCTAATTAGTGGAGCGGGCACTGAGCTGGGTCTTGAACTTGGCTGAGGCCTTCCCACTGTGCTAGGCTGCCTCTCCTAGCCCCACCAGTCCACAGGCTCCAGGCAGCTGGGAAAATGTGCGCTGCTTGGATGACTTCATCCACAGCCTCGGCTTGGCCTAGCCTAAATAGGCCTCCATTATCCCCAGATCATCAATCTAGCGTCAGAATAAAGGCAAGCTCTCCAACATCATGAGTCCTAGCAACTAGCCGGAGCCTCTCCGTCTGAACAGAGCCAACCCTTTGAGTGCCCATGCGTTACTCAAAATAACACGCTCCCTCTCCAGCTGGCCTGTGCTCGCATTTGATGCTCCCCGATGCGTCTACTTCGGCGAGAACGAAGGGAGCCTAAGAAGTGGGGCACAGGGCTGGAGGCCCACCATCCAGCAGTCTGGGAAAAGGGCCATGTGCCAGAGCTGCAAGCAGGTTCCTGAGGTGAAAGGCCCCTCTGGTCCCTCTTCTGGGAACTGGAAACTTACCCGGAAAGGACGCTCACGCAGTCAAAGAAACAGCCTGCTGAGGAAGCCTGGGTTCCCAGGCTGTTCCACCTGCAGCCACCAAGTGGCATCTGGGTGAGTGGGCCCCTTCACAGACTTACGTTCAACCTGGGTGTTTTTTTGTTTGGGTTGGTTTTTGCCTTCTAGAAGATTCTATCCAAGGGCCGAACAAACCACCGTCAGCGAAGGGCAGGTGGAGCTGGCGCAGGGCAGGCCTCCTACCTTGCAGGTCGCAGAGCTCAGAGGCCGTGAGGCTTTGGGAAGTGTCCGGGGAGGAGCCCTTCATGTCCATTTCGGCGCGCAGTGACGCGATCTCCACCTCGTACTCCCCGCGCATGCGCTCCATGTCGTCCAGCTCCACCTGCATCCGCAGCAGGTCCTCCTGCAGGGAGGCCAGGTCGCTCTCATGCTCCGTGGCAGAGTCCTCCGCCGCTTGCCGCAGAGTGCGGATCTCCGTGTGGGCCAAACGCAGCTCCTGCTCGATGTCCTTCAGCTCAGTATCCTTCTCCCGCTCGAGCAGGGCGATCTCCTCGCGGAGGGACCGCAGCTCACCTGGAGAAGGGAGGTCCAGGTCAGAAGGCTGCATCGCAACCCAACCCCCTGCTTCCAGCCCCAGGGAGGAGCAGCCTCCTCGGGAAGTGAAGGGAACCCCAGCGGGAGTAGAAACTACTCGAAGTACTGCCAACAAAAAGTATAAGCTAGGGGCTTGTCGGACAGTTAAAATGCCAAACCTAATTTTACAGTAATTCGCTGGTGATGTCCTGAATCTTTGCAATAAACTCGCAGATTCCAGAAACATACAAGGAGGGACAGAAAGGAGGAGGGATGGAAACCGGAAGCTCTGGCAGGAAGTGGGATGGCGTTGAGAGGGTTGCAATGGAGGAGCTGACTCCGATAGTATATGAATTACTGAGTGTGATGTGCTGTCCAGAGCACTGATGTTCTCTGAAAACCTTCCCCTAACTTTACAAAAGGCCTTTTGTTTCGTTTTTTAAGTGGCAGATCTATCGAGAAGATATGACAAGATGTCCATGGCTGTCTAACTAGAAAGAAACAAGCTGGAAAAATATATAGTCTCATTTTAAAAATATTAGATCTAGTGTATGTATCGACTGAAAGATACAAGGAGACAGAGCAGTCTCAAGTGATCCATGCCCCAAACCATGACCAGTGGCTGCTTCTGAGAAGTATCCTGGGCTTTAACTTCTACATCGCATATACCTGTGTTTGACTTTTCACCACATGCTAACAACATGTTATAAGTCATGATTATTTTCTAAGTTATGGAGGGACTATGTCAGAGCGTAGAAGTCTCCAAATTTGTGGATCTGCTCGGGGCCACTGAGCCCAGGTGCCCATCTGGGATCCGAGGAACAGAGAAAGTACAGTAAAGGCAACTGAGCTCAGGCATAATGCAGCTCAGCAAACATTTGCTGTCGGTATGCATGTCTCAGGCACAGGAGGAAGGCTTATTAACTATCTGCGACAAGCAGATGACGCAGCCTCGCTGCTGAAAGCAAGGAGGACTTGAAGTCCTTGCTGACGAAGAACTGCAACTTCACGTGGAGCATAATGCAGTGTAAAGAAAACCCAAATCCTCCAGCTGGACCAGCGGACAACATCACGACAAACAGAGAAAAGACGGAAGTTGTCAAAGATTTCATTTTGCTTAGCTCCACAGTCAATGCTCATGGAAGCAGCAGTTAAGAGATCCAACAGAACCAGGAAGGTTGTGGGGGTGGTAATTTGGAGGAGATTCAAGCTCCAGCCAGGATGATCGAGGTGGCTTGCAACAACCGTTTGGGGAAGAAGGTCCGCGTCAAATGCAACATGGATGACACCATCGGGGGTCTTATGACGCTGATTGCAGCCCAAACTGGCACCCGTTGGAACAAGATCGTCCTTAAGAAGTGGTACACTGGTATGGATGCTTGTTTTTCATAACTCAACATTAATAAAAACTAAGATGCTTCTTAACAACAACAACAACAAAGAAATCCAATAATGTAAAGTTTGCTGCACAAGATCGCATTAAAGTACTGAAGAGCAGAGGTGTCACTTTGAAAGCTAAGGTGTGCCTGGTCCAGGCCAGACCATTTTCCTTGGCTTCATATGCGTGTGAAAGTTGGAGAATGAATTCGGAAGACCACAGAAGAATCGATACCTTTGAACTGTGGTGCTGGTGGAGAATATCAAAAGTACCACAGACTGCAATCTGTCTTGGAAGAAGTATGTCCAGGATGCTGCTTAGAAGCGAAGATGGTGAGACCTTGTCTCACAAACTGTGGACATGTGATCAGGAGGGAACAGTCCCTAAAAAAGGCTATCACGCTTGATAAAGTGGAGGGGCCGTGAAAAAGAAGCAGACAGTCAAGAGATGGCTTGAGGCAGTGGCTGCCACAAGGAGCTCCAACACAACAATTGTGTGCAGATTGAGTGGGACCAGCGGTGCTTTGTTCTGCTGTACGCAGGGCCCCTGTGAGTTGGAACTGACTTGTGGATAGAATTCAATGTTTGGTTTTCTTAAAGCTAGAATAGAGCACAGACTTGAGAAGCCAATTGTGGACAGATTGCGGACATGCAAGTGCTGCGTGGACACGGGGCTTCAGGGAAGATCTCTTGTCCTTCTCTCTTTAGCTCACACGCGAACTTCCAGGCACATCTGTTGCCCATCCTTTCTGTTCCAGAATATTCCTAGCTGCCTCCACTCTCTGGTTCAGACAGCGGTACTTATTGATCATCCGCTCAGTGTCACGTCTGAGCTTGTCACTCCACTTGGATTCTCAGACTTCCTAGTTCCAATCCTCACTCGACCCCAAGGAGCCCTGGGACACAGAGGGTTAAGCTAACTGCAAAATATGCAATTCAAACCCACCAGTCAATTGGGAGAAAGATGAAGCTAGCAGCTCTCACTGACTTTCCCACCCCAAGGAGCAGTTCTGCTCTGCCTTACAGGGTCACCAACAGCCGGCTTTCTCCCCACTGTCGGGCACCACGCTGTGACCAAGACAGAGCTGATCACGCTCTTGGAACTTAGTCAAAATGAGTCAACTACTATTAAGATAAAGGTCACAGAACCTAGGGTGGCCTTTCTGTGGGGAGCGGGCCAGCATCCACTTCCCTGACACTCACTTGATCTTAGATTCAAATCGTTCTCAGGTTCTCTGAAGTCTGGTTCCTAGAAATTGGCCTTGTCTGGGGAGTGCTCAGAGGCCTAGCCAGGGTGGTGTAGTTGTTATGTGGTTATGTGTTGGGCTGCAAATGCAAGGTCAGCAGTTTGAAACCAGCCGCAGCTCCGTGGGAGGGGAAAGACTGGGTTTTCTACTCTTTATGGCAGTGATTTGATTTTGGGGTTTTGATTGGGGAAAGGAGGAAGGGGCAAGTCTGGTGGGAGGGTGTCCACTCAGCCTGGGCAGGCACTTCATTGGGAACGGGGGCGGGGTTTGGGGGACCGAGGGCGGTGCCTATCCGAAAGCCGGAGGGGGCGGGCTCTGGCTGGGGGTTGGCATGGCCGACCAAGCTGGGCCGCCGGTTGACAGTGGGGCTGGGGCCGTCGGGGCGGGGGCGAGGGCGCGCGCGTCGGCTTGCCGGCCTTATAAGTCGAGATCCTCACTCACTGGTTATAGCCTCCATCTCTTCGGCCCCCCACAAGCTGTCTTCCTGGGGGGCCTCCCGCCGACCGGCCGGTCCCGGCCCCCCGAGGGGCTGTGGGCGGCCGGAACCGCCTAGCAACACCCGCTGCCTCTGGATGCGCGCGCGCCCCCTCCCGGCGGAAACGGGCAAAGCGCGTGCGCGCGGACAGCCAGAGCGCCTCCTTCACCAGCCCCCCCCCCTGGGGCGGACCAGGTGGTGGTGGGGGGGCTCTCATCCTAGAAGCCACCCCACTGAGTAGGAGCCGTCCACGGACTTTTCTCAGGTGATGCACCTCCGCGTACACTCTGACTCCCCCTCTACTTGAAGAAATGCCCTTTGTCCCAGCCAAGGATCTTGCCTTTTCTGGTCTAGAGGTGCACACAAGAGCTAGCTAGTCTTGCTCACTTTAAAAAGACAAGGCTCTCCCGGGGCCACACCTTCCTCCTTCCCAGCTTCTCTCTCCTGGAAGCACTCTCTGCTCCTGACTTCAGGGGCTTCATCCCCACGCCTGTCTATTCCGTTTCTTCTTCTGTACTGGACCTCAGTGTGCCGGGGTGTCCCAGAGCCAGAGTCCTTTCTCCCCACTTCCTCCACCTCTCCCCGCCATCTCCCCTCAATCCTAATCCATCTCTACTCTGACAACCAAAATTGTATCTCCAGCCCTGCTTCCTCCCCTCTCTTGGGTTCAGACAGAGTGAGCTGCCTTCCTGCCATGTTGACTTGGTCTCTGATCTTCCAACTCAATTAGATAACTCACTGCCATTGAGCCAATGCCAATCCATAGCGATCCTTATAGGATGGGGCAGAACTGCCCCTGTGAGTTTCTGAGACAGGAACTCTTTATGGGCGTAGAAAACTCCGTCTTTCTCCCGAGGAGTGACTGGTGGTTCCGAACTGCTAACCTTGCGATGAACAGCCCAGCGTGTAACCACTATGTCATCAGGGCCCCTCAACAATTAGATAGCTATTCCTAATGACTCCCTTAGCAGCCCAGAAAAGCCCCATCTCACTCTATCCAGATTGTATCAGATTATTTTCATAACATTTATTGTCACCTGAGCTGGTATCGTTGTTTATCCATTTATTTTCTGCCTCTTCCCGGTAAACACACTCTTCATTCCCGTGGGGATCTGATCTGTCCTGTCCATGGCTGGTCTTCCAAGCACATCTAAAAAAAACTCACTGCCTTGGAGCCAATTCTGACTCCGAGTGACCTTATAGGACAGGGTTGAACTGCCCCTGTGGCTAGTCGGTTTGAACTGCAGACATTGAGGTTAGCAGTCCAACTCATAACCCACTACACCACCAGGGTCCCCTCAAGCATACAGCCATTCACTAAAGGGCCGATAAACAAATGAATGTAACCCATCTGGAAGCCCCAGGTGAGAAACTGAGTCTCAGAAAAATACAAGTGGCTTTTCCAAGATCATCAAGCTTATTATCGGCAGAGCTGAGCCCAGGAATCTAGGGGACCTGAGGCCAGTGCCGTCTCTCTCTCTTCCCTCCCTCCTTCTCTTTGAGTCCCCACAAAGGCAGATTGTCATACCACCTGTGCTCACATCCTCCCCCTTCCCGTCGCCTCCCCAGGCCTCCTTCCTGGCCTGCCTTTCTTTTCCCATTTATACTTCACTTTGGGCTTGATCTCATTTCTCTCTGGAGAGGCCCAGCTGTTTTCTAGGACAGCTCCCCCAAACCTTCCGGAAGCCCACAGAACTCATCAAAGCTGCCCCTGGATTTGGTGATGTGGTTGAATGCAGAACGCCTATCTTGCTGCTTCCCAGAGACAAAGGGCCGTGGGTGTCAGAAGGAAAGAATTCTGGGCCACAGGCTCAGGGCCCCCAGGCCCTGTTCCCCTTAAACAAACACAGATGCCCCTTTAGTCACTTAGCACTGGCTCACTGCCCTTTTCCATGGTGCCTTTGGTGGGACAGGAGAAGAGAACTGGCCTGGAATCGAACCTTGATCTCCCACCGCTGGCATGGTTCTCTGGGCACTCAAGTGGAGGGAAGAGGAGGCCGGGGAAAGAAAGAAGAGAGGCGGTGAGATGAAAGGGCAAGAAGGGGGAGGAAAGGATGGAAGAATCAGCTAGAGATGCCAAGAAGATAAGGGAAGTAGGGAAAGAGGAGAGGAGACAAAAATGGAAAGGAAGAGACAAGACTGGAGTACTGAATTGGGTTGTTTCTTTCAGCCGTAGTCAGTCAAATCCTTAGAAACAAGTACTCAGCTGCTCACTTTCCCTCCAGCCCTGTTGTTGTTCTACGTGACCCACCCCCTTCGACCAAATAGAACTGTCCTCTAGGGTGTCTGGAGGCAGAGCACCAGGCTTCTTGTTGAGGAACTGGGGATGGCTCGGATGCGTTGAGCCTGCGGTTAGCATCTGGGTGCCTCACTCCTGTGTGCAGGGTCCCGGGCCGGCCCGGAGTTACCTTGCAGCTGCTGGATCTGCTTGGTGAACAGCTCGGCCTGCTGGGCGCTGGCCAGCCGCTCATCCTCCAGGAGCCCTGTAGGGGAGGGAGCCCAGTCAGGCCTGGGAGTCCGGGGCAGAGCCCTCAGGCCCAGGCCCCAGGAGTCACCGGCTCTCACCTTGCAGCTCCAGGGAGTCATCCTCATGCTGCCCTGCCAGTTCCCGAGTCTCCTCCAGTTCTGCCACCAGCTGCAGCACCTGCGCCCTCAGCTCGTCCAGCTCCGTCTCGGTGAGGCTCAGGCCCCGGTGCTTGCCGAGGGACAGGGAGCCCGTGCTGCCACCCTTCTGCACAGATTCTTCCTCCTCTTCTACCTCTTCTTCCCCCTCCTCCTCCTCCTCCTCATAGAGAGCTGGGAGTAACACCTCCCCTAGGAGAGACATCCACCCCACAGGGGGTCAGGGCCGGGTTCTTCCTGGCCCGACAAGGCACTGCCAAGGGCAAAGATGGTCTAATAGTGCCACCTGGTGTCCCCTGAGAAGCTCCTGGCAGGACCTGCACTGGTGACAAGTCAGGTATGAGTGTCAAGTGTGGAGACAGCCCTCTGCCCAATACTGCACTCAGTGGCCCCCTAATACTGTCATCCATGGGAAGCTGGCACGAGGATGCCTGCTTCTTCTAGACCTGGCCTCTGGGGATCAGGCCAAGAGGTCAAGCGAAGTGGCCAGCCATCAGACATCAGACTTCAGGCCAAATGGGCCAGGGTTTAGTTTGGGGGTGGGTGGGTAAAAACTAGCCACTCCGTGGTAAGAAAGGAGACATGTTGGCCTAGTGGGCTGTGTGTCGAGCGCCCACTGCGAGTTAGCAGTTTGAAACCACCAGCTGCTCCACAAGAGAAAGACAGGGCTTTCTACTCCCACAGAGAGCCAGTGTTGGAAACTCACAGGGCCCGTTCTACCCTGACCTGTAGTTGGCAGTGATTTGTTGTATGTTGGGTGGGCTGGAAAAGTCAGTAGTGGAAGAATGGAGCTTAAGCTAAAAAAGAATGGGGCGTGTGTGTATTCACATTAAGAAAGGATTGCGTGTCAATAGGTAAATAGAGAATGTCGAACGCGATGGTTCTAAATGCTTTTCTGGATGCACACTGCAGCCCTTGCGGAGGCATATTAACAAACAGCCTTTTGAAGTGTCCAACCAGGTCCTTCTTCCACTCCCTGCTCCGTGTCATGAGGTCGCTCTTCCCTGCCTGAGTGTTCCCGGGGCCCGGCCTGCTGGCCACATGGTGGTGTTCAGGGAAAATCTTAGGTCAGACTTGAATGCAACAGAAAATCTGGCCACTTTCCTGTGTTCAGAAATGGGGTGTGCCTGCCCCAGCCTCCGGCTGGTGAGCATCCCTCCTTACTGCAATGCAGCTTCCCTAAATAGCAAACTCTTCTCTGCATGGCCCCTGCTTGTGCTTTATTTTAAATCCGGACTCTCTGGCCTTAGATCTGCCAATATCCAAAGCTCCAGGTGCATCTGGGGCCCCTCGTCCCATCTGTCCTCATGAGAGGAGTAGTGCTGTCCACACCGAGTCTGCAGAGGGGTCGGGGACACTTCGCAGGAAGGCCTGAAAACAGACCAGCAGCCTTCCAGAGGGGAATGGGCTGGCAGCCGCTGCCAAGTCACACGGTTGTGGTAGGGACCCGTGAGAGGAGGCTGGCCTTAAGTGGCCCAGCTCAGGCCGCCCTTGTAGGCAGTAAGATCCTAGAGAGGACCCAAGCCACGGGCACCATGAAGTACACTAGACTGGCAGTGCACAGGCCCCCAGCCCTGCCCTTTAGAAGAGTCCTTTGGGGTCTGGGTCAGTGAGAGCAGTCCCCTGCCACAAGGCCTCTCTGTCTGTCTGGTAGCTCCCCGGGGGCACATAACCTGGTCCCATGGGACCTGCCTGGAGCCCCAAGGGGTGCCCCCCCCCACCTCCCCAGGGAAGGGTGGGCTCAGACCAGGGAGGAGGGGCAGTAATGAACAGAGGGGAGGTCTGTGTCCTGAGGCCCAGCTGGGGGGTGGGGTGGCATGAGGGGTCAGAGGAAGGAAGACAGATGGCAAGTGCATTTGGGGAGACTCACCCTCCATAGCTTGCATCCCCCGCCGTTCCAGGGAACCCCAACGCTGGCCTTTCTTCCTCTCGCATCCCTCAGAGGACTCGTAGGAGCCCAGCGTGGTCACCGTGGCCCCTGTGAGTGGGGGAAGGAGTGGGTGGGGGTTGCCCCGGCCGCTGGGGGCTGGGCTGGGCCCAGAAATTTTTAGCCCCAGAGGAAGCCCCTGACTTTATCTGCCACCATCAGCGCCCAAGTTCCGGGCGCCTGGGCCCGCACTGATAAAAGAAAGGCGTGTCTATTTAGCCGGCAGGGAAGGGGTAGCCTGGGATGAGAGGGTGGGGCGGCTGGGGAAGGGGCAGCAGGTGAGGGAAGCTGGAGAAAGGGCTGGACCGTGGTCAGCCCTCCATTCTCCTTCCGGACCTCGCTCTCCCCGCACCTCCCCACTCCCAGGTCCAGGAGCCTCCGGGCCGGGGCAGGTGCGCAGGGGATGCAGGCTCCCACGGCAGGCAGATGGGGCTCTTGGGAGGGTGCGGTTGGGGTGGGGAAGACGGAGGCAGGCCCGGCGGGGGGGCGCCCTACAAGGCGCAGGG